CTCACTGGCTGAGTTTTTTTCATGTGCAACTTATTTATTAATTTCAGTTTGACCCGTTGCAACGAATGACTCGCACTTGCGTAAGGAGCACCAATATCGATCACTTAGTGGTAAAAGCTGAGGTATAGCACGAAGTTGCTGCCATCCAATCCTGAGAAAGTTTGGATGTTGACCTACAAAGACTGAGCACTGGGTACTTGCAGGATTACCAAGAAAGAGGACAGATTAAAACTATCCTTAGCTCTCTCAATCCTTCGGGTGCTTCCTTCTGGTGACATGGCAGCTAGGCACCGGAAGGGTGTTACAGCTGAGCGGTTTTTATTATTATTATTTAGCTCTCTGAATCACCCTGGAAGAGGTAGATCTAGCAGCAACTGTTTGAATAAAGAACGTTCCTGATAAGGTGAAAAAGACGTTCTCCAAGCTAATTCATCTCAGCCTAATAGAGATACATAGCCACACATGAGTGCGCCAGTGACACAGAAAATTATAAAATACACTCCATACCTGAAGTACAAAGTTAAAGAAATGGTCCTTAAAGAAATGATGATCAGTTTCAAGAGAATCGGTTCACGAATCGGTTCATTGGACCGGGAAATGTTTAATTGGGGTGGCTGTATTGGGCCAATATAATACGAGCATAACAAACAAAACGGTCAACTGTAAGCAGTTGCGAAGATCTGCGGAACTCACATTCACATTACTCTCGTTTGAACAGTCCCTCCTATCCTGGTTAGTCCGCGTCAGAGGGAGGAAACACTGGACTCGAATTTCGCCGTTTTTAGAGGTCAGCAGCACTGCATAACCTCGGCCGCGCCAAGATACTTGACCTTCGAGTTGAACGTGATTCCACTAATCCACCAGTACATATGGAGTGTGATTCGACCGGTTAGCCCAACAACCAGAAAGGCGACTCAGTAGCTGCCTAGATTGTGTCGATCGTTTGATCCTCTCATCAGGTCTTCCCGGTCCAGTAACGCTAATCACATCGCTCAAGTTGGAGAACGTCCGCGTTGCGTGAAGTGTGCGCCAGAGAATTCGTGGAAACACGCTTACATCGCATGCCAGATGTCTGGAGTTCAAAACCGACACGGCCTTGAAAATGCTCAGATAATTCTCTCTATTAGTAGCCAAACTTGATTTCGGTGCTTCCCTTTGGGGACAGACTAACCAAAATGATTGCAGCAGGACATGACGTTCAAACGAGCGTTATGCGAATGGGAAGTAAAAGGTTATCTTCAATCGTCAAGCCTTCAGTAGCAATTCTGTGATAATTTGAGACGCGATTCATTCAGGATTGAATTCTCCGGACAAATTAGATAACGGATTCATGTGGTACTCATTGATATCTCGCCTCCTTCGGTCTCAGCAGAGTGCCTATGATCCATGATTTTCAGCGACACACAGACTGCCGGCTTATAGTGTGGTTCTTATTTCGTAACATGAGGATTCATTCACACTTAAAAAAGCTTCATCGATCTATCGGCCAGGTCCTAGGCTGACATTTTATGAGCCAAAATGACAGTACATGAACTGTGATCAAGCACGTGACTGAAAGATATGGTGTCGTCAGAGCTGATAGCCTTTTCATCGTCTTACCAATCGCTGTTTTGCTCAACGGTTCAGCGTATTCCGGGTAGCATTTTGCTCCTTTTTGGCGAATTTCCAGAACTAAATTTATCCACCTGTGTTCTACATGTTGATGTGCTTTTACGACACCATAGAAATTTTCGCTGCCTTAATTACCAAGTATCCAAGAACGACACCATAGAAATTTTCGCTGCCTTAATTACCAATGTATCCAAGAGATTTTAAAAGCATTTAGTTTTTTTCTAACCGGTTCGTCCATCGCCATTTCACAAGGCGAATGCCAGCTTCGGTCACTTTGGTATCGTTCACTAATTATCATTCGGTTAGTCTTGTCACCTACTTGTAGGTTTCAACACTATTGCATTAGTAACAGACGATATGTAGAGAAGAGATACGTGCTCTGATTGGTTCGTTGGGTGTTTCATCGTTTTACGTGTCCAATGCTTGGTTGACCCGGACGTTCAGCAGTCGGCCAGTCCTATTCATTGGCTTTCCGGAATGGGATCCAAAGAAACAAGTTTGAAGTTCGTTCAACGGCAGCAGAAGCAAATGGTCAGGCAGCACAAAATCATTGAGGAAACGAATCACTCTATTTTGAAGTAGCTTTGAGTCAAGGTGAAAGCTCCGGAAATCTGCGCACTATCCTAGGACCTCACAAGGCATAAAGGCATAAATGCTCATCAGTTTCGTCTCAAAGTGGTGCATCGATGTACCAGAATGATCAGCGTTCAGAGAAGAAGAAAACAGACGGATACCGATTTATTCAGGTTACCATCAATAGAGTAAATGACGCCAGGGAACACAGCAAAGTGTCTCAACTCATTCCAGCCTGAGTGTCCAGACATAAAACAACCCAGTCCATAAACTACAAGCCTGTCGTGTGAATGATTTGCCATGGAGAATAATGTATGATGCAGGTATCTGCCCTGGCCTATCGTGAATCTAAATATCAGGCGTTTGATTTCTACGTCCCACTGATTACGGCTTACAGCGTTGACTGTCATCAAAATATGCTAAGATTGCATCCCCCTCACAAGGAACTTGTTTGTCAAAATAGTGTTTATCACTGGAAGGATGGATGAAGTCGCATTATCCTTAGGATACAGTGGCACATACAGAGTTGCTGTCCTGACCCTTGGCATTACTGACCCATGAGTCTACCTACACTCTCCAATTATCTCGAATGAACTGCGTTAGAACTACCTTACGGTCTTGTTCGATAACTATCTTAAGTTGACTGTAACAGCCTGGCTGGCGGATGGTTCAGAAACGAGAAGACTGCAAACACCTAGCCAGTTAAGGATTGCAAAAACAACTGACACTTCAGTTGTCTACCAAGAGCACTAGTTCATGTGAGCCTGACTAAATTTATAACTCCCACGCTCTAAAGGCTCAGCAGACAGTTCTCATTAGTTGCTATCCCCTCTCAAACGAGAAAACAGCTTTACTTAAAATCATCTTACTATCAGCTCAAACTCTTGCTCAGATCATAATCGGTGCATACGCTCTTACTGGGATGGTTTCCAAAGGTAGCGGTGGTGCGCGAACATTGGTCAACTAGTGGACAGGATGGGCACAAGTATAAGGCGGCTCTTCGAAGCATTGGACAAACTGAACACCGCTCATGTTAAGGACAGGTTCACGTGAGGTCAGTGCACCCTGTGGAGTGGTGGCAGCACCTTTGCCAGTAACTACGTCGATACGGCCTAGCTAACGTCACTTCTACAGAGCTAGACCATAATGATTTCCCCTTTGGTGTGGGCCGACAGAAATGTAGATCATTCAAAACAGGTTGATGTGAGTAAGAGCTCAACAAATCCCGCAAGTCAGCATCTGTTTCCAGAACCAGAATATTGAGGACCGTCACAAGGAAAACAAATGAAGGGCAGATTCCTCTATGTATTGTCCCATGGGAACTAGTTTACCCTGATCGATAGTCGTGTCTGAAACGCGTCTAATGGAAGAAACACGGTGACGACCCCCGTCACTACAGCAACCATAACTACCATTGATCTGGGTGGAAAGCTTCAAACGTCAGGATCTACGAGGTTATTTTTCCATTACTTCCTGTCTGAACCGGAACTACATTTTCCCGCTCGACACGGTAGTTTGACCACTCATAAATCATCTCGGCGAGAAGGATACACGTTTTGGGTGACTTGGGTTGCTAGGATACACACCGATGGGCTTGTCAATTCCAAACCAAACGCCATAAAAACGACCTCTGCCTATATTACGCGGACCTAGGATGGGGACAATTTGTAGATGCAGAATTATTATCCCAGTGGCCAAAAGCTAAATTCAAAACTTTCTTAAGAATTTTGGCATCTACATCCAGCTTATGATGTAATGTTTTAACCACCCGCCTCTACATAACTGACACCCAGCAAATTATTGGGTTAAAAAGGCGAAGACACCCGCAGTTTCGTCTGCTTGTGCTGCATAAATCTCAAGTAGTCGTATTCCCGTTTGGCTTTTACAGCTAACAGTAGGACAGAAGCCCATTTCAAAAGGTTAGAAGGGGGTTATCTAGCTGAAATACGCAACCGAACACCATGGGCGGCTTCCGCTACGAGCGAAATGGTTATTGTGTTTTTCCACCCATAAACAATCCGACAAACTTCTTTCCTTTGTTTTCTTTTAACTGGTTATTTCTTATCCTTTCTCTTAAATGCAGAATTTTGTTCACGTCATTCTCGCGTGTCCCTGAAGTCTCGGTACGGTAGTCCCTCACTATAAGCACGACTGGGTACCATCCCAACTCTTCATTATCTCGAGGTTGTTGTTCATTCGGAGGTTCGGTCTAAAGCAAAGCCAGAATATATGCTTTCTAAACACGATATATACTGTTACATTATATTATTGTATGCGTCACATAATATATACTGTACATTATGTATTATGCTTTGATTGATATTTAGTCAAATTTGCTCGCATCACTGTTCCTGCACTCGCTAGGCTTAGATCGTAGACTTAGTGAGATTGACCATATGAATCCTTAAGTACTCGTCATACATACATAGGCTGAATTCATCTTCATAGACCACTTATTAAAAGATTCCGTGAAAGTTTTCTAACTGGTTAGGATCAACGATCAAACCAAAAAGAACGACCAAGTTATCTCAGCCGAATACTAAACAGGAAGTCAGATCAACAAGTGTCCAACTTTACAGCGCTTCTTTGAAATCAGCTTTGACATGGTCTTTAGATCATTCATTCTTGATGTTCATTCATCCTTTGGATACCCACCACCGGTCGTAATTCTCTCCATAAACTTGGGAGAAATATCAACAGATGGTACGTCATCTCAGTTCCCCTACTCTATCTTAAAGGTCGAAGTCTCCGCCATGCAATTAGATACACGCACATCGGGTTCTGTGATATGTGGATCAAACGCATTATCTTTTAAGGTTAAACTTCAATGAGAGCTGGTCGTTCACCTTAACATTTCGTCTTCCCTGTTGTTTCACCTCTAAGCACGAAAAGAACATTTTTCATCGGGATATCAAAGCGGATAACATCCTTTTCACAAGTCGAGCTCCTGGTGTTGCAGCGAACCCTCACACTGCAGCTACCTACCCACCAGAAGGTCATCATGTGGCCCGAGCCAGAAAAGTTAGACCCCCTATTCGTCGGTGGCTTCGAGTACGGTCTCGAGATGTACACATTAATCAACGTTCTCTGTCCGAAAGCAGTCGAGTTCCCCGACAGGCTGGTTCCTGGGGAACCTCATCAGGATTGGCAGAACGCGAAAGACGAGACGTTCGCGAGAAAAGCTCACCATGGAGTAGCAAGTCTCGCCCCAAGAAAGAAGGAACCGTTCATGAACTTTCACTTACAGATCGAGGTAAGCCATTTCCACTTGGTTAAAATCATCAGAAAATATGCTTTTGGTCTTTTGCTTACTACGCATTGTCGTCCCATAATATCAGTTGTTCCGCATACAGGGATTTCCAAAAATACTCTCATTTGCATAGAAATTCACTTTCTACGGGAGACCCAAGTTAATCCAGCTGAATCTCACGCTTGCTGATGGTCCGCTTCTGTACAATTTGAACTCAAGTAGAACATGAGGACGAGGGAAACTCTGGGACTGTACCTATCTGATGGGCCCCAAAAAGGGTGGAACCATTCGTGGGCTGCCTAAACGTTTTCGGCAACCTTAGAAGTACTACGTCACGCTTGAAGAATGTACTGCGATATTCCGAATGCCGTACCAACTAAAACATGAAGCGGCCCGGTGCATCGCATTCAGTTAAAGCGGACCATTAGAAAAACGAGTGATTCAGTCGGATTCAATTTAGTTTCCTGTCAAAGCCCAATTCTTGTGCAAATGAAAGAATTTGTCGCGGAAATACAAAACCTAAGATTTTATCTGCACTTTCTGCTGGATATTGTTTACTATGCCTTTTCCATCCTACGTCGTAGCTTGAAAATGGTCGATAAGATACCAGGTTTCTTCTATTTAGTTTTCCTACATGAGCCTTCGAATGAGATTACATGGAGATTTCCAAACAATAAAATACTCTTCTGCTACTCATCTGGACGATGCCCATACAAATGGAAGGTACGTGTTGCTTCAGCAGATAAGAACCCCGCCAATACACTGTCATGAGATTCCAATCAACTTATGCGAGCTGGTTATGCCTCCTGAACACTATTCATGTTCTACAGGTAGTTGGGATAGCATACTCGGCGATTAACAACAGAGTTAACTCGTTTAAAGCATGTCTTTCCAAAGTTGGCCGCCACTTCATTGTATCCCATCGTGGTCGGGCCCATCCAACTTACGTTGTGGTGCTTTTTGGAAGAGTTTCCACTTTTCTGATGACGACAACTTTTTTGTAACATTATATATTATACATATAACCCTTTACACCCACCCGACAAGCTGCTCCAGGAAAATCAGGTGTAGATGGTCAACACTGTTGATTAAGCCTATGGTTCATCTGAAAGATTGGTAAATGATTACACGAGTTAACTGAAAAAACTCAGGCCAATTCGCTTATTTCTGGTAGCTCAGTGGAGCGGAACGAAATCCCCCATTACGATCGGTTGACAGCGTCACCAAGCGGTAGCCAGTGAGAACCTGCAACCGATCAGATATGAGTGGTCGCAAAATTTAGGTTCTGGATACATGGTTAGCCATGCGTCAATTTCTGTCTGACGGATACATGTCGACACTCATGCTCATATCTGACCGGGAGTAATCAATACAGCCTTTCTTCCGCGCATGTACGGATTTGGGCGCAACTGTACATCACAGTAATCTACGTCATTTGACCAGGGAATACCACTTATGTCACATAGTAAGCCTGATTTTGGCAGTTGTGCAATACATTAGTGTGGCTTAGTTCGGTCTCGATAACTGAGTAGATCACCGACAGTGCTCACAACTGACACATAACCGAAATATTGTGGTACTAAACAGAGTTTAATGAGGCTAGAGTTTTTACTGTGTTTTGAGACCCCTTTCTGCTGTTAGTTTTTTAGCAGGGGAGGATCACTTGCTTTGAGGTGACTCCAAATCGTGATCCCAGTCCCCTAATGACGGAGATAGATCCACAGTTAGCCAGTCTTTAGCATGCACTGTGAGTGAGTAGTGTGATAGTCAAACGTCAATATTTACTCGTGGCGTGCCGAAATCGAAGACGATGATGACGAAAATGCACGCATTAGTCAGGCAGTGCTTGTTCGGTATCAAAAATCCTATGGACAACAGCCAGAAGCTACATTGTGCACGCTCTATCTATCAATGTGACGTGACAGATTGGACCGGTTCCCGGAATACTCAGCCAAAAAAAGACATGGTGCCTATTCTGGGGTCCGTATGAGCTTTACTCGCTTGACCCTTGGGTTGACGTTGGAGCTACGAGCGCAGTTTTTCAACTAATTTTCATTCATTCTGTTTGGCTTCGGTGCCCCGTGCTTGACTGAAAACGCCTGGAGCTATGATCTCACTAGCCGCCGCTTCACTAAAAGAGACGGGATGCAGGTAGGATAATTCGGAGTTGCATGGAAGTTGCTGGTAAGTTGAATAGGTTGAGTATCCTCGAAAATTTCCACTGTTTACGTATCGGTTTAAGCCGATCATCTGGTATTGACCAGGAAACTAATATTCGTAACTAATCTAAGCTCTAGTTGGTTGGAAAATAATTTACTCATCCATACTTCAAATGGCATAAACTTGTGCCTTTGAAAAAAAAATAATGAGAAAGAGTTTCTGATTTTCAGTAGATTTCGAATTTATTGTCCGAGAAGAATGGAACTTTCCATTCTCTATTCGGTCAAGTAGTTGCACGTCGCAATATCAGTGAACTACCCGTAAGAACACGTTAATCGGTTCTTTTCATGCCGTATGTTCTTAGGAGCCTTGTCGACTTGACTCTTCTTTGTACTTCTGTCAGCTTCAACTACATTCAGTAGCAGCTTTAAATGAATCAAGGTCTACCATAGAGGGGATGTGGAAATGTTTCTAGAAGGCAGTGATGGTGTTCATCAAATATTCGTGATTCTCCGAACCCATTTTTTAAACCATATTGTGCGTTCTTTGTGTGTGATTAATTATTACAGGATTAGTTTTTCGTAATTACCCAGCACTCTGTGAACATTGTTTTTTTTGTTTGTACAGTGTATCTTGAATGGTTGCCTAGACAACGATTAAAGCGAGCCGATGAATCGTTCCACGTCAGGTTCATCAAGCGGGGCTAAGTTTTTGGATAACATTCCCCGAAGTGAACTGGTGACGGATTCGCTTGAATTAAAGTCGCTTCTCTGCACACCAGATGTGCTCCAGTTGCAGGCACCAACTCGCGTATATATTATCCTGCCCTGCGTATATGCCCCTAGATTACACATAAGACAAATAAGCATGTTTACTTTTGAGGGTTTCAGTAAGCTGCATTCATTCAAAGCAGTATACGTTAAATTAACAGCAAAATATATTTTACGTATTTGAGCACTGCGAATCGCGCAGTTGATTTGCTCCGACTTTTCCGCACCAGTGAGATTTGTTTATCAAAAAGACTTACGTTCACACACCCATCCGGCTTCATTTCTATATTACTGCCACGTGCCTCTCTGTGCTCTCCAGCCCTGAGTCCCGAAGACTATCGTGTCAAACTGGCGGACTTTGGGTTCAGTAGACTGGCGATGAGTTCAGATCAGCCTCTGACTACATTTTGTGGATCACCGGCCTACGCAGCCCCAGAGTTGTTTGAAGCACAAAAGTAAGTTGATCAACCTCCCAGTGTTATTTTATTCGGAACGACAAAAGCCCAATCCTTCAACGGATAAAGAGGACGAGTTTTGATGTTTTCAAATCTCGTTTCGATGCGTGTCCACTACATTCTGTTCGCGATGTGCTACTCACACTGTGTACACCAAGAATTACACGAGACTAATCAAAGACTTTTCCTCACAACACAGCGAATCATGATGATAATTTATTCTTGCTCGCTTTTCTAATCTCATGCTCCTTACTACTAGGACGATGCACTCATAGGATATAAGCCAAAAAGGATGAAGACCATATAGTGACAGATGGCGGGAAAAATTGAAAAGGTTTGAAAATATACCTAGGCTAAATTAGAACGGAGGAATTCCTTTTATGGATAGGTGTGGTAACGGAACTGCCGATTAAATGCACTCCAAGTGCTGATGATTTCGTGATTTTCAGGATGTTCCTCAGCTTTAATCGTAGACTAGTAATTCATACTTAACCTACAGAGTAAATACATTGATGTACTTATTTGCGGTAGTTTGATGCCCAAATCACTATCATTTTTTCATGGAAACGAACAGCGGTTGACGCTAATTTTGCAATCACGCTCCATGACTAATATGACCATATGCCCATCCACAGAAAATGAGAATTCGTCTTGATCTGGTTCCGGTCTCCACAAAGATAACACCATTTTCCTTCTGGAGAGATATCCGCCTTAATTTTTATTGCCAGTGAAAAGTAAATCACACGCCTAGGCATGTGTCCTAATAGGGACCTAAGGTAATGCGGCAGAGCTAGAACAGTCAGTTTGTCCCCCGTGGATTTCAGCCGACGTATCCGACCAAGCAATATGCTTTTTATACTTACTTGAGTGCAACATACATATTGACTGAAAGACATCGAAGGAGAATATCATCAGAAAACAAGCTCAGTCACCATCTTCAGCGTCGTTTGGAAACCGGTGATGATCGAGATAATTATAGAAGCCAACTTTGCGGAAGGGTATTTTATAGAAGCGTGGTCTTTAAATGAAAAAATAAGATTTAAATAGTTAACCACTTGATGCGGTACTCCAAAATAATGGCTATCCGAGGAACTTCTTGAGGAAGTTTTCAATAAATCGAAGCCAGGTCATTTTGTAAACACAGGCAGAAGAGAGAAGAATTACACTTACATATATTAGAAACATCGGTGAAATGACTGGAAGACACTTACAATAACACAAAAGAACAGTCACGTTCAAGCCCATAAACAGGTTGAGAAGGAGGCTCTTGAAACCAATGAGAAGAACTGATGCAATGAAGAGGACAAAATTAGACCCCAAACTTCAGTGCAGCGACTGCAATAAGCACCTTTTCGGCCATACTGGATGGAACCTTATCACCAGAACACACAAACACAAGCTTATCAACAGAAGAAATGCCCGGTATCACCTATTTTACAAAGAAAGGCAGCAGTCCGACTGGGATAGAGTTCAAGTACTTGCCCACTCAAAAACAAACTAAAGTGGGAAGTTGCCGGGACCTGTTACTCCACAGAGAAATCAATCAATAAATACATCGACGTGGACCGATTTTATCAGTCACTGTGGTCAAGAGAATTAGACAATTACTGGACTCTAACCCATGTAGGAAATCAAACAGCCCAACGGCAGTCAAAGGGATAAAACCAAAAATAGACGGTTATCCGACTAAACAATCTAGTAGAGGATAAATAGACCATGGGGCAAGAAGGAAACGGACAAATCAGGGAGGAGTAGTGGAACTGTCGAAGTGAAGGCAAGCAGATGCAGGGAAACGGGACCACAACACATCTCGAATTTCAAGCTGACCAACCAAATCACGCAACCAAACCAGCCACCTCGCAATTAAGTAGTCAAGTTAGAATTATTACGTACCCTTAGGAACCACAAAAAAGAGAAATTTACCTATCCAACTCCACAGTGACAATGTCACCTCGATTCGTCAAGCGTTTGCAATCCAACATCCAAGCTCCGTAAACTGACCAACAACCAAATCAAACCACTCCGCCATCTTCTGTCAGTCGTGTCTTACGAAGATGGAATACGGTAACTCAGAGGGATAGCCTTGCAACAGCCACCAGATGAGTTGCAGAACGAAATATAGAAACTCCATACAGCAGTGAGTGATTACATTGGCCATCAGAACTGTTTTACCGATCATGAGGCTATGAACCTTGACGTTGATACCTCGGGGTAATCTAATCGTGAAGAAGATTTTTTGAGAGTGACAACATTTTGCTGAGAGGAATAACATGTTACGGGCGCTGGATAGAGTCCGGTGGGCAAAATTATAGTACACATCACGACCTTATTTCAGGTGACTAGCTGTGCTCCGCGATGGCTAACTCCCCTTCTCGTAGATGATTCTGGCAACTCAGCTACTTGTGAGTTGCCAGTCTGTTTACTCCCGCGCGTTATCGGTTGCAAACGACGATGCGCTTGAAAATCGTTTCATTTTAGCATCAAGGACGCTGACCAGTCCCGAAGTATTATAAGGAAAAAATTGTCCCAATTTTCAAAGACGTCTTGGGAACCGACGTCCTTCTTACTAGCCTTCGCATCGTTGAGTTTGTAACCGACCGACAAGAATACGAATACGTCCTAACTGGCAAAAATGATGAGGTGTGTTCGTGATCGGAACAGTTTGTTAGCAATAAAGCATAAGACCGGCTTACTAACAACGATTTCAAGAATGAATTTAGCGTAAAAGTTGAAACACAAATGTTAACTGTTAGTTTCAACTGTTGGATTTTTGGAGCAACTCCTCTTTGCCAAGCTTCGGAGTGGCGGGTAACCGGAAGAATTCATAATTAGTCTACACCATACAGATAACGTCACACTTTTGCGTAGAACTACCTCTATCCAGTAAATGAGACGCACACGTTTGGACGCCGCAAGGCGGTCTCTCTTAAAAGCCGAGCATGGAATTTGAGTCTTGGATTTCATCCTTCAGAATAAGTCGAGAGGTGTCAACGAGCTGTTCTACTCTCGTCGATTCATCAGCATTGTGTGTCTCATGGGTACTGAGGGAGATCTGATGGATAAAACCTCCCTACAAAGTTTATTCAGATGGAATTCGGAACTGAAAAAATATCAAATACGTATACACCAGTGAGAAGGGATTTTTCTATGGTTGAGCACTGACATGATTCACCTTTCATCTCTCAAAACTGGAAGTCCAACCACGTGACTGCACTATTACCCGGTTTTCAAGTTATTGGTGAAGTCAGAGAATTCGGGCGGTGAATAGTTAACCAGATGCTTATGGTTTTCAAGACTTAAAAATAAGCGGTATAAAACATTCGTTCCACAACCGCTATCGTCTTAAGGGTGGGATTCGTTCAAACATCCGTTCTTTCTTCGCCATCTATCCACTATTTGCCTTCAGTTGTCAATAATCTGTCTTCATTTCTTTCACCAAGACTTGTTCCTTCTCAAAGTACCGCTTTCTTTTGCTACCCTCTTGCATCATCAGTGACACATCTAGACTATCCGTCCTCATGAAGGCCAAAATTTGGCGTTCCTTAAGTTCATTCTGAATGGTGAAATTTATATCATGGATATTGTGGTTGACATTCTTACTCGTTACAAGCTAACTTTGCGGACCGCAGGAAGTTCCTTACCATCACCGAACCCTCATCCTACTGTGTTTCTCAGTGGGTTCTACTCCAGGATTATCAAAAGAACTCTCTATGTTTCTTTGGTTTCGTATTCGCCAACTACTTACAATAACTTACTCTAGAGTTTGACATGAGAAGAAGAGACATAGGAATGTTGTGTACCGTTAAAACATCAAAGCTTGTAACAGGTATAGGTTACAAAACAGCTTTGCATGAACAATGACCCGCAGTACGTAGAAATAATATTCATAACACACAAAACCTATAAACTCACTTTAGAAATGTAGTCATTTGTGATTTCCGGCTCCTTCATCTCGGTGCTAGGGGCAAAGATGAATACGATATCCCACTAAATAATACTCGTAAATCAAGGTAAATCAAGGTTATATTGGTCTAAAAAGCATTTTGCTTTACAATGACCAAAGGGTATTGGTGTGTGTGTGTGTATGTATACGGATAAACGGAATGATATGACATATATGTTCTATTGTTTTTAATCTGCATCTCAGATGTTGATGAGGGAAGTTGGGTGAGATCTTATGTATTCGTCAAGCGAATGCTTGAAAGTCTCGAGGTTATCACAATCCACAACAGATGTTGGTAGTTTGTTCCACGTGAGGGATACGCGGACTGAAAAAAAGTAGCGCGGACAGTTAATGCGGGAACATGGAATGTCAACGGCCAATGGATTCCGTCGGGTCTGTCGGGCCAAATTAACTGTGAACAAGTGTTTTAAAGGGTGATTAGGGGTGTTTATTATCTTGAACATCAGGATGAGGTCTCCTCGTATACGCCGATAAGTTAAATCAAACAAATCGAGTTTACGTAGCCTTTCACTGTAGGGAACGTTTCGGAGGCCAATGACCAGCTTGGTCGCGCGGTGGTAGATACGCTCTAGCAGTTGTGTATCCTTTTGCAGCCATGGAGACCAGGCTTGGATCGCGTATTCCTTGTTCGGCCGGAGATATGTGTTCATGATAATAGGGTGACATCTGGCTCTACTTGTCGGTTTGTAGTACTGCAGTGATACGAACTTGAATAATAAGGTTTAGTTGGGCAGTAGGGAGACGAGGCTCGCCATAATTTCGCTTGCCGCGATTGAGTGGAGTACAAGTCTGGTCTAAATTAACGCGCAACTACGACTGGTTCAAAGGCGCGCATCTGGGGTGACCCCATTGCACTGAGCATCCATGAGTCAGTAACATAAGGTGCACAACCAGATAATAACTTAAATTAATCTCGCCAAGACTCGAATCGTCTACATGTGCACAATAATGCATGATTGCTGATGCTAATTTTAGTTGAGTAGAACAGCAGAGAATGTCGGTGGTCCAGGCTGTGAGGCTCGTGACAAAACCGTTCGCTGAGTGCGACAATTCCGTAACAAAAACTCCCGGACTGGGCGAATAATTCAAGGATCGACATCTAATTTATTCAGTTCTCCCTCCTTCAGATACAGTCCGTTCTTGTTGCAAAAGTCATGCTTATGGCTCCTTTTCCAGCTGAAAAATGCTATCGGCCCATCTCTTCACCCATAAATTATCCCGATTTCTTGAGTCAGTCGCACGTTGCCTGGAATACGGTGGTCACGGGAACAACCATGATTGTTGGTTTTTACGTCATCGTTCTACTAGTCAGTTGTTGGAATTCAATTCATGTACCTGTTCGTCAGTGTTGCACTCTTCCCGTAATACCAGCTCATGATGCCGGTATCTCGATTATGAGTAACTGGCGGTGGTGCGCATTTTCATGCCACTATGTTCAGGCCGGCTGATGATCTGTACCAGACTTCTTCAGGTTTGCTCGCCGATCCAAAATCTTGCATGCGACGCCACATTCGGTTCCTTGAAAGCCGTCTCTGGCTCCCCAACTATGTGCAGGCGCCTAGTTGTTTGGCCACTGCCGATCAGCAGATCCAATTTAGATGCCAGTAACTTGCGAGTTTTGTAACCCGAACACACTTCATCCCATGCTCTTTCGACTAACATTATCTTCTTCCTTATGTGTGCCACGCCTGCAAAACTTTTATGTCTGTTTAACAGATATTAATATCCTTTTAACTGGTATAAATGCTAAAGCTCCGCCGCTGATTACAGATAACACGAGGTTAAATCTAGGACAGAAGGTATCAGACATGGGGTAACGTAAACTACATACACTTTACACTTTTTCGTAGTGCAGATTTATTACCGCTTTGTGCGGTTCTTGAGCAAGGCTTGTGGTTATGCTAAGAGGAAGCGGTAAACTCTGAATCATTCTCATTCTAAGAAATTAACTCTGCTGAGCCCCTGTCCACAAGAATCCAACAATGGGTGGTCCGATAATGTTGTCGCAACCATGATTAATTTTTACTGTTATGAAACTGTCTTATTGGAATATCACTCTTGTGAATTCGACGTTTGAGGTCCAAAGGGATCGCTCGAATAATGTCATCCTGAAAGACCTGGGTGATCTCATAGTAGCGTCTTGGAATGTAGCCCGGTTTGTGTCACATGACTAATGGCTATCACCTTTATTGGAAAGTTCTCTTCCTGTATTCTTCGTACAACATTCATTTTCGTAAACATTTATGAAGAACTGGATGTACATACTCAAGTAAACAGCACTTTGATCTTTCAGCTTAAAAGTAGGTGTCGTTCATACAGTTTCAATTTACTCCCTACCGGTTTCCCAGACATTCTGATGCTACCTCACTATGTGAACAACTTAAATTCCGGAAGCCACTTTCTATGCTCCTTCAGAATCATCATCACCAGCTGTAAGAACCTCGTACTTGTCGTAGGGTGGATCCGCCAAACGACTTGAGCACGTACCATTGCTTGTGCAGCTCGGAAGAAGTGTATCTACGATTTGGGTTATCTTCACCAAATTAATTTATTCGACCTACATAATGACTGAATGTGCATGCAATATTGCCAATGTTTTTACCTTGCTGAGATATTGTATGCGAGTTGTCCTGATATCTGAATACAAGGATGGTCTAGGTCCAGTTCCGTGCAACAGTTTATCATTCAGATCGGTTGAAGTGAGGGGGGATAGAATGGAAGCGGTATGCAGTTGCACCAATTGGTTCGTGGCACAAAGAACTTTGGAGTGATAACTGTCTAGATGGTCATCAACTGAACAAACATGCTACCTGCATCTGCGAAGCTCTGTAAGAAGGATTGGATAATACTGTCCGTCTAGGAAAACCCACATCGCTTAGCACCGTGTCTATATCCATCGGTCCGCTGTGAGCATTAATGATTAGTCTTCTGCACGTTTCCATTTTCGTAGGTACTGGGATACGTGAAAGACGGTGTACTTCGTTAAGATTGTTGAAAAGAGCTAAGCCAGTCCGGTGTGTAAAGTAGGGTACGGTTCCATTGTTGCGACTTATCCGCAGTGCGAATCATAACTGTTTTGGAACTGGGTTATTACTTGAACAAATCCACTAATGATACAAAAAAATTGACAAGGGCGAGGTCGCGGCCCCATGGTGTGCGGTTATCACAGTGCGAATCATAACTGTTTTGGAACTGGGTTATTACTTGAACAAATCCACTAATGATACAAAGAAAATTGACAAGGCCGAGGTCGCGGCCCCATGGTGTAGCGGTTATCACTCTGGACTCTGAATCCAGCGACCCGAGTTCGAGTCTCGGTGGGGCCTCCGGTTTTCCCAGCTGCTCCGTTTCTCAACTCTAATGTTGCTATAGCGCCTTTACGTAACACAGGCCCTGAAACGATGTTTTTTGATCTCGTGTTGTTGCATCAGACCGGTTTTGTCGCATCCACTTGACTGCTGGTGAGCAGCGCATACCAGCTGACAGCGGATGTACGCTGACGGTGGATGCCAAGACGTGACAAACTCTATGTTACTCATGAGTAGCCTCGTGAATTACACAATTTAAAGACAAGTCAGGCAGTCATCTTCCGATCTCAGACCAAAACAAGAATTGAGCTACCTAATCCGTAAGCGCTTTTAACGGTTCACACGTCGGTCTACAGATAAGCTGGCTACGTTAGAGCACCGTGGTACCGCCTGCATGAACACTGTGAGACGTACAACAGCAACTTTTCAATCAGAGATGCTTTCATTTCTCCACATCGCTGCCTGTCTAAATGAAGTAATATTTTCCTCAAATCATTGGGCTAATGTACGCAGATTGTTGTCGGCCTCCGTACAAGTGATTTCCTGATATTTTTCGACTACATGCTGTTTGCAGCTATCAAGGAGGTCCCGTGGATATATGGGCATTGGGTATCGTCTTGTTCTTTCTCCTTACCGGACTGCTTCCTTACCGTGGCTCTACTGTCGGACAAGTTCGGCGGTTGGTGCTGGAAAATCGTGGATCACAACCTCCGGCTTGGTTGTCCCCGGCTGCTACGGCACTGTACTCACGATTAACGGCCAGACTACCCAGCGAACGACCAACCGTCTCTCAGCTAATTGAATTTGCTGGACAAATGGGCTCGGGTTCAAGAGATGCAGGCTTGGGCGGTGGCGATCAATTTGGTGCGACCACTATGGTGGAGGCAAGAGAAATGTTGTGGGCCAAATGGCTACACGGTCAATCATTCCCAAAAGCACTGCCAAGATTCAACCGATGCGCGCCAGTAAGTCAGTTTTCCATCATTCACTCAGAATTCATAATTCTCAGATTCTTTGGAATGTAGTTTCATACAGCTTTCCTGCTGTATCAGATGCACGCAGTAAAATGCGTATGCCGGAACCCAACTAAACATCAGTTGGTCTTAGCTTTTTTAAACTGATTGAGGTATGTAAGCGGACGAATAGACATAGTAGTACTATCAGTCTGTGAGACACTACTATTCGGAATGGCCCAGGATGGAATCGTAAGTTATCTAAGTTGGTCAAGTGGCTTTCAATTCCGCATATACCCTATGATTGCGGTCCTTTCCAACAATAAAACATCATGAGTGGACATCAAAATTTGACCTCGATCAGTGGGTTCCTTCCAGGTAGGCGCCATGCAGTGCAGGGCCGCACGTCAGACCTGAAAAAGAAAGGAGCAAGGCTCATCCAAAAAATAGGTCGCTAGCTCGTGTTATAAACGTTCTCATGTCAAACATAGTGTAAAAACGGTTTGTGTTGTACCGAAAGTTAGCTGCCAGATACCTCCAAAAGAGCGACCCAGTAGGGGAGACATGGGAACTCTACGAAAGTGCAAGCAGCGAATGTTAGTACTTTGTTTGTCTTGCTTGTTAGTACCTTGGTTTTAAACATGATAACTTGTCGACTACTTTCAGTCCATAAATAACAATTGTTCCACCATAGTAACCAAAGTTGTCCTTTCAGGGCAGGAGTACCGACTTTATATTTGTTGTGTGCATCACAGTTCGGTCCCCAATATTCGTCTTATAAGATCAGGTTTCTATCAGACCACATCAATAAAACGCTTTCAGCTTCTTTCCAGTATGAAAGAAAATGCATCTAAAAGATTGGACGCCGCTTCGCACACGGGGATTACAGTCGTCAAAGATCGTGGCAGTTCCCCATCAGTCCAGCAACCAAGTCAGTCATATTCAAGCATCAAGTCTGTCAATCCAAGCCTGTTCAGCCTCAACACACAAGAAAGCGAAGTGAGCAGCAGCAGTGGCAGCAACAACAGCGGGAACAGGGAATCTTTCATTGAAAAAAAGAAGGCCAGTCTGCCCGTGGCTCCAACTAAGAGGCCATCATCGGAGGAAATCGAACTGGAGGCGGCTCGTCTTCTAATGAAATTGGGAGTTACTCGGGAAGAAGTGGCTGCTGCCAAGAACATGGAGGCGCGCAGTGCAGTGACTGGTGCCTATCGAATAATCTTGCACCGGCTCCATAAGTACGTAATTCAAAAGCACACGTACAAATGCAACCTCGTTGGGAAAACCTAGTATGTTGTGTTTAGGATACGAAGCGTGACATTAGCGATGTAGCCCACAGTGCAGGCAAAGAACTAGCCGGAGCAACTACAGATTTATGCCGAGCAATTGTTTCGCCTCATATCCTTGTTCGTCAGATTCACACTAAGACCACCAGAGTGATCACAACCCTCTTCCTGCCGAAGCATCCTCTTTAATTTCAAGCGAAATACTTAACAAAATTGGTGAATTAATAGGACATAGTGCATTTGAAAGAATGGAATCTTGATTGTAAGTGGACATTCATTTACCAAAAAAATTACTACTAACAGGGGACAACTGGATTTTTGTTTATAATACTAACAAATAAGATTGACAGGAACTCGGTAGTTACGCCTACCTGATGAGTTGCAACAGAGGAGAGATCGGCAGTGGGTTGTAGAAGAGTTTTCACGAAACATGTATGTGGTGTTGCATCTATCACAGTCTCGGGTTTGTTGGACTGAACTGACCTGAACTAGCGCATCACGGATATGGGGTTTTTCCAGTACACACCCTTGAACAAGTATTCCTATTCGCGCGAGAAATATGAATTTAAGTAAGTCTGTCCATACTGGCTTAAAAACTGACGAAAACTGATAATAAATCTTGGGTGAAAACAAGAGATGAGCGCAGGCTTTTGATCAGTCACTCCAGGATACTCATTTACTCAAATGCTTACAATGCTATTATTCAACAGGAGTGTGGAGGATGGAGGCGAACGCGATGAAATAGTCAGTGAGATTTTGGGCACCTTTGCTTAGACTTGAATCTCTCGCTACCACTGTCAAAGTATGGTTTTATTACATACAGTCCTGTCTTTATGTTGAAAAATTATCTGTCTGAATTCTACATTGGCGTATTTTGCTTAGAACGACGGTTGTCTGTCGAAACTGCGCCTTCGACGACGCTGGTCGTTTAATAACTATTTCTGCAGTTTACCGCAACATCTTCCAAACAACAACGGTAAAGGTCTTGCATGGTTTGCGAGACCTCTTCTCTGAGGAAAACAAACACAATTTCAGTCTACGCCAACTCTTTCAATACTCTATTTTATCAAAGATTGTGCGACAAAATCCAGCCCACCCACCGCCCGAATTCTACAAAGCGACTCCGAAGTAAATACACTTCATAAGCTCACGGCATCAAACCATTGGGTAAGTTCGGAAAAGTCTGAGAACTGAAGACTTAGCTTTATGGACAAAGCAATCGAGTTCATGACATCTTTTCTGCAAGGGAGATAGGACTAGAAGAAAAATTATACGGTGGTAAGATAGCGCTACGGCAGCTTTCTGCCACGCTGCTAATATGCAACCGAAAAAGCATTACGACCGATAGAGTCAGAGTGCTGAAACCTAAGTGCAAGCAATCCAGGGTCATTACTAAGTCTTCAGCTTAAATTTTTCATTTCCCCTATACGTCCGTACCTTATTCGTTGTGAGTAACCATGGCTAGACTTCCAAAAGCAGAACAGTAAAAAATCCATCACTGCAAACCGGCTAAAGCGAATGAAGGAATAGCACATAGTTCACTATAAGCAGTCCCCGAAATATTCGCTGCAATGGTAAGGAAATCAAACAAAACAAAAAGAAAACTTGCTTAGCAGCATTATAGGGAACTGCGTCACGCACAGACGGTACTAATAACAGGCTGGTCGTGCTTGTCTAGTTTCCAGAGCCCGTGTGTTCAGGACGAGTTGGCCAAACAGCCAACCCATTCAAACGCCAGAAAACCTATTAAACAAGATATCTTGAATGATGAATGAATGATGCTGAATGCGTGGTCATTCTGAACAAGCCATCACGACCGAACGATTACAGTTTCAGGTCAGAATTAGATGTTAGGTAATCGAGGCAGTTGTTACTGCTTCGTACAAAAGCAGTTACGATCTGCATGTGATCGGTGAAGTTAAGCATAGCTGTTTAGGAGCAGGTCACTCAAATTCCTACAAAGATCCCTGTAGTAGAATACTCGATGAGCAATAAGGATATATCCCGGCTAAAAAGTTACCGGCTAACTGAAAGGCATATAGGCCGGCCACGCTCACCAAAATTAGACATACAAAATCTCTCCTGCAGAAACTTTTGGAAATGTGGATGTACCAGCATAGAAGACGCAATCTCATCTACTAGAAGTCACAGCATGGTTGACTCTCACGTACACGACCGAAGCGGATCGTAGCCAAACGGCTGAGCGTTGAAGTTACCGGGTTCCATACTCGTTGAAATTTCGTGAGGTGAGCAATTTTGATGATTCCCAATAGGAAACAGCCGTACGATGCTTCCAGGCCTTTCAGCATACACTGACTTCCCTTACAGGAAGAAGTCTCAAATGAAATATTCCAGATTACTTCATACTACCGACGAAGCAGGTAAGAACATTTGACCAGTATTACATAACCGATCAGCATATAGACAGGTCAAATAGTTATCGGGCATTTGCGTTAACTACAGTTCTACCTCGCATCCCCAAAGGTGTGATCCAAATAAAGGAGCAAAGTAGCTGCTCAAAGCCTACTTTCACCTCCATATATAT